TAAACCCTAAACCCCTAAACCTAATCCAAACCCTCGCCCTTACATTAATGCCTGCTTCTGCTCAAGGTTCTTGGATGCTGAAGCTATCTGCTTGGCATTCCTTTTCTTCAAGTTCTCCACTTGCTCGGCTGCCTTTTCCTCGAGTTCCGTCAAGTCAGGAAGCTCGGCCAAACGCATACCATCTTCGGAACTGCCAGCCGCTATCGCCTGCATCTGGGCTTGGCGATTCCGCAACAGGCCGCTCAAACCCTTTGGAGCCGCCTTTGCCATGGTCCTCCGTGGAAGCTCGCTGTGTCTCTGATTCTTGGCTGAGCCGTACAGCTTCAAGTACATCCGCTGCACCCGTTGAATCCTCTCTGTGACAACGTACTGACCAGATGAATTCAGAGAAGAAAGCTGGCTTGGTGCTGGACCATCCAATAAAACTTTCATGACAGCATGTGTGTAGTCCGCACCCAGTTTTTTGCCCGACTCAAACAGCTTCAGGTAGCTGAAATTTTGCTCGAGCTCGGCAGTGGATGCCCAGAAACAAAGCAAAATCGGAACCTCGAAAACACTGCATGAAAGATTCGAAATTAAGTGCAATCTCTCCACGGAATACAGTCTCAACGCAACCAAGCCACCATTTGAAGAAGTGCTGGCAACCGCTTCTGCCAGTGCACCAGGACGCGGGCCCAATACTTTTCAGGATCCAAGCAGCCTTGCCTTGGCCAAGACAATTGAAAGTGGGATATGGAAGAAGTCCTAAACATACTTGCCTCAAGAGCGTGTCCACCGTAGGCCGAGCGAGAATGACCTCTTTGGCAAGATCTGCAGCCTGCGGTATAGCCAGTACCAGCATCAAAGACAAGAGTACAAGCTGCATGTCGGCCACACGTCCCAGACCCGAACCTGCACCCCAGCCATCTTAGCAACAGGCTCCAAGATGCGGGACCTCAGCAACAAGCCCGAGCACGCACACCGACACACACACACACACCCACACAGAGACAAAGGCTGAAGAAGCTCAACAAGATCGCGCGGGCTAAGTTGGCTGCATGGACTCATCGGTGTGGTTCGAGGTCCAATGCTGCACATCGAACGGAGCCAGGCCTTCTCCGAGTCCAGCTTCATGCTCGGAGAGTATGCCATTCAGATAGCATGCTTTCAGATGGCTGATGTGCCCCAGACAGTCGGCGACCACATCACGGGCACTAAGCTGGTAGCCTCCAGCTGGGCCACAACATGCTTGCACACGTTGCTATAATAGATCCGGCCAGGGCACAGTCCAAACGATACAGCAACTCACCCTCATGGATGACGTTGAAGCTCTTGCCCTTGCCTTAGCGTGGCAATCTCATGAGTGGGATGAGGCCAGTGGCAAAAACGGGGTCAAACGAAAGGGCCCATTTGGACAAGTTGCTAAGCTCTTGCATACTTTCACAAATCATCTGCACATATCCACGGGAAAAGTCTTTGTTAAGAACGAGTGGAACTTGCTGGGAGCCGTCGGCCGCATGGAAGTCGAACAATTTTGACATTTGCTCGCGCACCTCCTGCGCGCGCCTGGAGGCCAAAGCAATCTGAGAGATCACGCTGTTGTTGCTCCGACTGGGTTGGCCTGACCCCCTGCTTCCACCTGCATTGTCGAAGCTGTGTACATGTTTGGCGGCTGCTTCAAAGAACTCGGTCAAGCATCCCAGCATTATCAAGTTCTTGGCTGTGAGAACCTCTCGGGAGGGAATTCAAGAGCAACATTAAGCCCTAAACGTCAAGCTAAAATACAATGACCTGCCCTGTGCCCGTGACCTTCAAGATACTCTTCGCCCAAGTGCGAAGTTTCTTGTCATCGTCTGTCCCGGCCACCCTGATCAAGAATTTGACAACTGAGTTGATCCGCAAAGACAACAACCGGAGCACGTCCACAATGCTATTGAAGCGTTGGGCCGCAAAGTTGGCCTTCATGCAGCTGTTCGTGGATGTACAGAGCTCTTCAATTTTGCATAGGTCAGTCTGGATCTCCCGTTCAAATAGCCGTGCCAGTTTAGGGGAGTTCTTTAAAGCTCGACCCAGGCCTCCCCTGTCAGAATCGCTTGCAAAGCGGGTCACAAGATCCTGGATCAAGGCCTTAGCCTCAGGATCCACATCCAAGCATGCTTCCAGACTCCCCTGCGCGCTGTGCGCATAGCAGCGCACCACAGCAGTCAAACGAGGCAACAAGTTGTCCACCTAGGTTGCGACAACAATCCCCGAATCTCACAAATTATCATGTGAATATTGACATTGAGTCAAGAAGCGCGAGCCATGCGCCCCGCAAGCTGTTCAGCACCTTCACCGTCTGCACAGAAAACCTGAAACGATCTTGAACACACGACTCTTGGGCTGGGTAAGTAATCTTACAAGTCGCATGTTTCCAGGCAAGGCGCGCGGATGCTGTTTTGCAGCTTTGCCTTCACGGCTGCATCTCCATTGGCCAGAAAATCCAACGTTGCATCTGCATGCTTAAGCTTTTGGAAGGCCGCCTCGCACATATCATGGGACTGGCTTTTCAAACTGCTCACCAACGCTATGCACCCAGGCCTTGCCATCGATAATGCGGAGATCTGCCACGCGTTTCTGGATTTGGTAATCAGGCAAGACGCAGTACTTCATCTTGACGAAATTAAACTCCCCCCGTACGTCCTTGCAGACAGCATATTGACTTTGGGTTCTGTTTTCAGAANNAGTCCCGGACCTCGGCCCAACCAGCTGCCACCACCTTGCCATTCTTGACAAGAGCTCGATCATCTTCGTACCTGAGGTGTACGCTTGCGCACAGTAGCAGGGCACAAAATCTCCACACAAGAACTTGACTACTCCCTAGCATCCAAGCTACAGTGTTCTTGCCAGGCAATTCACCAATCTAAAATGCATGTAGGCTTTCGAATACCGAGCTGGAAAGTTGGCAACGTCCCTCCTGCCAGCTAATTGTGCCTTGCGTTCAAATTCTTGAGCTTGGGCCCCAAGCGCCCCCGTAGTACTCACCTCCAGCGCAAGCCTGATGAGAGCTGGCGTCGGGCCAACATTGTCCATTGGTTCATCATCTGCATCTGGAACGGCCTCAGCAGGCCTGGGATTGGCCCGCTCCAACTCAGCACGCACAGCTTGGCTATGACATTCGCGAGTCGCATGGTTCACGAGCGTGCAAACCTGCAGTTTACCCTGCTGGCCAACCCTGCAATGTATGAAGGCTGAATCCTTCATAGCAGCTGCCATGCGAGATGCATTGGGTGCAATCTGCCGCTCTCCGTGCAGCTTTTGGCAAAGTTTACATCCCAGTCCCCATTGCCGTCCCTCGCCATCACCTTTCTCAACAATTAGCCAGTCGAAGCGACGCTTCCAGACAACCTGAAATGTTGAATCACACAAACCTGAAATGCTGAATCTGCACCCTGAACCCTAAATGTTCACGCTAACAAGCCCCTGAAACGACCGGAAGCTAATTGCGGCCACGCAGCCTCATGTTTAAGAAAGAAACAGCGACTGCACTGTTTAATTGCATTCTTTATCGAACCATGTGCCGCAAGACACTCTGCTTTGTGCTCCTCGTCTGTCTGGCCAGGCATGTATATATGAAGCAACTGCCACCCGCGCACCCATCACGAGACTAACAAAAGCTAGAAATGACCTATAGTTGGCATAAGTGCTACATGCTGTCTGAAGAGTCTAGCCAGGAGCTGGCTCACAATATCGACCAAGCGTTGCCACGAAGCCCTCACTGAGCCCCTATGTCAGCAGCAAATCCCGGCATGTCAGCTGCAACTCACGGCATCCCAAGTCACTTGCATCCTGCCCAAACACCATGTTGCACCCTCACAAGCGGAAGCAGGCAAATGCAGGAAGCCACTAAGCCCTGAACCTTAAAACCCTAAACCCAAACCCTCCCTCAAAGAAGCCGAGTCAGAGCGACCGGCGGCAGCAGTGGGCAGCAGCAGCCGGCGGCAGGCCTTGTCATTGCAAAGATTCATGTCCGAAGCATTTGCATGGATATAATGCAAGCATCACGCATGCCCGACGGTCACTTTACATATAGGCCGTGAGCCACCCTACCTGGATTTCTAGCGCGATACCACTGCGGGGGATGATCAGGGCTTAGCGCCTTATTGGGTCCAGCTGCCCGGAACACAAGTCTTTTTCGTCTTCCACCAGTCCGGAACACGGATCTTTTCTCGTGTCTTGCTTTCGCATGCCCGCGCACCCATCACGAGACTCACACAAGCTAGACCTATAGTTGGCATAAGTGCTACATAGAGGACCCGAGGGCATGAGTTGTGCTGCAGGCGAACCTCACGGCATTTCAGATGACTCTACACAGCACACGCCGCCACAACCCCCGCCAGTACAGTATAGTACGGTGGCAGGATCGAAAGAGCTTCAAATTGACGCCTCGGAGGCCCAATCAAGGAGAGCCCGTATGATTTGTGCTGCCAGCCCTTGCAAGACAGCACCTCTTGAATCACCAGGCTGCGAATTCTTTTCTTCTTGTCACTGCCCATGGCCACCAGGACCACACCTTGAAAGCTCCGCGGCATCGCATCGATAGCAATATCATCGAATGATGACAAAGGCCTTGCTGTGCTGGCAAACACTGGCAGCTCTGCCCCGAAGTTGCGGCCAAGTTGGTGATGGAGGATATAGGCATTGACCACACAAGCCTTGCCATGATCCTGGAACTTGTCCATGCACTTGCCGAGGATCTTTGTGTCCAAGTCCTTGTGCACTATGCCTTTCTCCGCACAGGCCAAAATCATGGACTTCACGGCGTCCTTCGCCTTGTCGGCGTCTGTGTCTTCCTCATCATCCACAAACTTTCTTTTGCCAGAGCCATCGCCATGCGACCTGAAGCTTTCGCCGCCATAGAAGACGCTCAGGTCTTCCTTGTTGAGGAGGTGTTGCTTCATGCTCCTGGATTCGCGAAGGTGAGCAGTGATATCACTGGTGGCGTCCGCCAAACGATCTCCGAAGGCGCACGCCTGGTCCTGGGAAGCACAGAAGACCCGTAGATTGAACTCCCCAGCGCCTGGTGGAAGCATCCACACACCCTCAGAGAAATATTGCTTGAAGCTTGCCATCTTCAGCACTTCACCAACCTGCGCCATGCAACGGTCGGTGTTCCGGCTGGTCAAGAAAACCCAAGTCCTTGGCAAGCAACCCAACAGAATCATTCCACTGAAAACTCGTGGACATGCAGACAAGATGCAGCTGCACTCCGTCGTAGCGCTCGGCCAAATTCTTGACCAGATCCACAGTGATCTTCCCCGTGAAGAAGATAACAGAGCCATTGGGCACAGCAGCTGCCGGATCGATGTTCCACGTCGCCTCGATCTCGCGCTGGCAGAAGAACTGGTTCGCGACCTCGACGTAATATCTTGCTCGCTGCTCAGGAAGACTCGTGCATGGAACTCCAGGCTGGAGGCAGAGTGGCCATCCCGAGCAAGACAGCGCAAGAAGAGGATCAAGGCCACCCGGGTGGATCGAGATGATCCTTTTGTCCTGGCCAAAGCAATCATATGGACGACTCTACAATGATTGCAGACACAGCCCAGCCTGCAGCACAGCTTTGTACTTCTCAATGAGCGCAAGGTGAGCCGTATAGAGACTAGACATGCTACCACCACAGGCCCAGCACAGGCAACTCCAAAATCAATGAGCAAAATCTTCACAGGTTTCGGCGTGAGCTCGACAACATGTGGTTACTGGTGCTGCAAGCTGCACCGTCTTGGCTATATCAGGGGCGCACGTGCACACACAAGCACGAGCTTTCTGTCACCGAGCAGGCACCGCCACTGTGGCATTGCGCTTGGAAAACCTCGGCCCTCAAAAGTCAGGCTGCTGGGTCCACTGCCAGCGACAGGCAACACGATGACGATAACTGTAAGAACGAATTATTAACAGGATTCGCACTCAAAACTGGACCTCAACAAGGCGACCCGAAATCGTCGCTAAGCAAGCTTCACCCAGCTGGCCACATTGCGATGCAAACACACTCAGATGAAAGAATCGGATGACGACCTGCGCTTGCGCTTCTTGCTGTCTTTCGGCTTCTCATCATTCTCTTCATTGGTCTTGCCCTTGCCAGCCACATCTTGGCTCGCTGCACTCTCGGCCGGGCCAGGGCTTTGCATCTCCAATCCTTCTCCAAGAACCAATGTAGTGGCATCAGAGGGCGCCTCCGAACCAGTAAGGCTCCTTGACTTCGACAAGAAGCGACTGGTGAAGAACCCGTCCTTCTTCTGGAGGATGAGCTCACGCACCACCTTCAAAATCAGGATCTGCGACACAACGGACTTGTGCAACTCAGAGAACACGTAGCCCTGGTACTTCATGTGCGTCCGCGCCGCTGCCAGGGCGAGCATGCCCGTCCCCATGCAAAAGTCGATCACCCTCGTGCACCCATTTGGCGTGAACAAGTTCAGCCACTCACGAGCATGGGCCTCGGGCGCCTCCAGCGGCAAGAGCGTGTGCCCTTCAACTCCCTGGCCGCCCTGGCCCTCCCCATCACTGGCGGACTGATCATCGTCGCTTGCTGGCTTTGACGGCTCTTCCTGCCCTTCTTGCGACTCTTTCTTGAAAGAAGCCGTCTGAGGCCTGGCATCCAGGATGTTCTTCTTTGTCTCCGGAAGGACATGCTCCATGGAAAGGTCGTCGGCAGCCTTCCTGCTCCTAAGTAGAGAACCGCAAGCAAGAAGGCGAAGCGTTCAGGGTTTAGGCTTTAAGGTTTAGGGTAAGGGTTCGTGCCATAGCCGTAGCCGCGAAGCAGTGAGGCAAAGCCCAAACTTCGAGAGTCTCCTGGGAGGTCCAGGTAAAGCCGCTCCCGTGTCGGAATGGCGGTGGCTTTCCCCTTCAGCACAAAGAGAGTCTCCAAAGGATCTGGAAGCTTCGCATGCACTCCTCCACGGATGGATCGCTTTGAAAGCGGATGCTCATTCTCAATGGCGAACTCCCGGCCGTGGTACAGGAGCCTGTACGTAATGATCCCCTGCCTTCTGCAGAACTCCGAGTTGGCCTTCAAGCGTCTCTGGCATTCCCGGTTGATCTGGCCTGAAACCACCTGATTGGTACCATCCAGCAGGACTGCAACGGAGTGCTTCTTCAAGCAGCAGGCCTTGGTTGCCTCTTCACTTTTTGGATTGCCGAGGAGGCCATCGTAGAGCGTCTTTTGGAAGGCCAACGACATGCCACCGGGCCCATAGCACTTGGAATCAGCAACAAAGAGCAAGGGCCCGTCGCCCCACTCCGAGGACGCCTTCTCCCAATCAAAGCTTGGCTCCCACACGCGCACATCCACAAAGGAAAACACACCTGGGCTTACTCATTCATGATAGCACTACTTCAGCCAGTTGCATACATCTCAATCGCGGCTTGGGCACGATGCTTTGCATAATTCGCCATGTTCTCCAAGGTACCGCACTCCACCTTCGTGCAGATATCTTTGATGTACTGTGGCGGGCACAAATCTGGGAAGAGCTTCGCCAAGAGCGACTCCTTCTGCTTCAGCTTCCGTTCCTCCTCCTGCTCTTGAGACTCATCCTCCAAGGCGATCACGGGGTGGTCCTCCAAAGACTCGAGGGGTTTCTCCATCTCTGGCGGCTTGTTCTCCTAGCGCAGGAAAAGAGATGCACGCGCCAGGTGTGTCACAAGCACTCCCACCTGAACGGGGACATCCGGAAGGGCTGAGGCGGCTTCAGTGACCGTCTTGGGCTCCAGGTCTCCCCTCAATGCGACAATCAAAAAATGCTGTGAAACGGGAACAAGAGACGAACAGCATATTCATTTTGCCAGGGTGCATCTTCACATCCAGCAAATGATCAATGTCCACCCAAATCTTGATCTTGGGGCACTGCAAGAAAACCTCGGCACTCACGTTGGCGTCCTTCTGGCTGGCTTCCAGAAGGAGATTGTGCAACTCAGCACTGCCGCTGAAGAACAGCTTGATGGAATACAAAGCATCCCGCTGAAAGCTGTACAGATCAGCCAGCCATGTCTGGTCAACACCATCGTGGAACCCTCCCTTGGAGAAGGTCCTGTGAGAAAGCATGTTGGCCAGGAATCCAGCAGGGGTTCTTGGGTCAGCCGCCATGTCAGTCTGCCCGTACTTCAGCTTCTGGGTCAAATAGAAGACGCACCGCCTCCCCAGCAAAGAGGCCTTGCTGAATGCAAGCATGTCATCACGCTTAGCATCGCGATCCAGCCATCCGCTCCTGAGGCAGTTCAATGCATCGTAGAAGATCCACTCCACCAGCTTGTTACTCAACTCAACGTTTTTGTCGATTTTCGTCAGACTCATGATCTTCTCCAGGGTAGACACAGTAGCAAGTGGGTGCTCGGCCCCAGCAGCCACCTCCAGTTCCTCCATCAAATCGCCGAGCTGGGCAGCCATGATGCGATCATGCACCAAGACCATGCTCCTCACAGAATTTTGCGGGACGTCCACCCCCTGCTTGGCCAGCCATTTGGAAACCTTGGTAAAACACGACTACTGCCAAACATGAATTGTCAAGGTGCTCGCTCAATGCCGCTCAAAGACATCCAGGTCCGCGCATGGTCTGGCCCATGCTTTCAAGTTACCCTTCAGACTGACAATGCCAAGAACTTTCTTCCATCCACGTAGTACCCTTGTCTCTCCCAAAAGCTGCGAGGAGGCAGACAACCCCCATTTCTGCTTCTCGGCATCTTCTTTAGACCCACAAAGAACGAAGGTGACCTTCATAGATGAAAGAGCGGTCTGCATCTGCTTGAGCAAGGTTGTGTCTGCCATTGACATGTAGCCGGAGCCCTGGCAGACAGAATACCAAAACGCCATTCGGTATGTGTCCAAGCTCAGGGGCTCCATCACCTTCGGGCGACTCTTCGTTGTGAACGATGCCACCGAGATGGCGTCACGCCAGAGCAAAGGTCCTGGTCAAACAAACACTAAGCAGGATTATTTCAGGGCAGGATCGCAGCATCGACGTGTCCTTCGCTGTTTTCCAGGGACCACATCCGTTTGGCCACCTGCTCGATGGATGTCAGCGAGGGAATGACGCCAGGGTGGGCGGTGGTCAGAGGATCAATCCACAGCGCGGGGACAACGCAAGTGAAGCTGCCTCGGCTCCGCAATTTGACCGGCCCTCTTCTTTAAGTCTGAGCATTAGTGCGAGCAGGGGCACCCCACTTCTCCATGTTCTGTTCATACANNCAGCCACCTCAACCGCCTCCGTTGCCAAGCCCAAAAACGCCTTCGCAGCATCAGTTGCCAACCCACTCCGCAGGTACTTCAAGGTAGGGTGGTCCGAGGCCGCAAGCGATGGGGCTGCAGGAGCCTCCGAAGGAGCTGCATTCGCAGACTTTGCTTTGAGCCGCCTTCCAGGCGCAGGAGCCGGCACACTGTCAGCCATCCTCTTTCCTCCCATGATACACGCTACAGTCAGTCCCACTGAAGCCTTAAAAGCATGACCTGCACAAGGACAGGTAGGCTCATGTCTTGCAAGGTTGGCTCGTCGAGGTGCACTGCTCACACAACCGTCCTTATTTATTCAAGCCCAGCAATGGGTACACCAGCAGCTGTTGGCAGCACAAGGACTGCCCTCAAAACCTGCTGGCCTGTGGTCGCCAGTACGATCCCCCCAAATTGAAGCCTGCAAGCTATGTGGATTGGAATTGCCCCAAGTGTTTCAGGACCGGCAACAGAACTTTCACAAGGGCCGTCGAACACATGGCTTTCCCTATGAGCTCACACGACTGTGTCGATGTCAGTCCATGGAAGTCGTAACCTGCTGCACCCATCATTGCCATGCACTCGGAGACCTCCAGGAACCTTGCTGGGTCAAGGCGTTAATCATCTGAGCTTCCCGGGAAAACGGCACAACTGAAAACACAAATTGTCAACGAGAGACCGGGGCTGCTTGCCAAAGTAGAAGAGTCTCGAAGAGGTGCACAGCGTGGGGACACTTCCGTTGCAGTGCACGTTACCTCTTCCGGCAGTTTGCGACACATCGGCCACCGGGCAATAGGACGGACCATGGGTTCCAGGGTCCGTGTTGGCCTGAATGATGAGGTGATACCTTGTCAGTCAAACAAAAGCGCACTGCAGCAGAGCGACACAAACAACCGATGTAAGACCAAGGCACACATCCAGCTGAGATTTCAACCAGGGTGACGCAGACTTCACAAAGGGCTCGGCTGCATTCAGAGCACAAAACCTCCGGCGAACATCTGGAACCTGTGCTCCCTTGTCCAGGCGCTTGGCCAAAACTGCCTTCTCATAGGCAGCTTTAAAGGAAGTGGCATAGTTTGCCTCCTTGACAGGATCGACTTCAATGGGGTCTGCGCCTTCCGTCGATTCCTTGGAGTTGAAGAAGGCAAAGGCATGGTGCACAGGTCTCTCTTTCAAGCCGCTCAGCTTGCCATGCAACCAAGACAGGTCCACGTCATTGAAGGCGCCGATGGTGAACACGCGCTTGCGCACTGCAGGCCTTGGCCAGTATCAGGCAACATGCAAGCTCCTTCAAAGAAAGCCGAAGTATGCCTGCCGACAAGGTGCAAAGGCTTGCTGTCCACGACAAAGTCCATGAACTTCCATGCCCCCTTGAGGTGGATGTCCAGCTGCTCGTGAACCCACTGCAGAACATTCTGGTCAGCTGACTCAGAGGCGCCAGCACGACGTTTTAGGATCCCTGTCACATTTTCTAAGATAAACATTTTGGGACGAATCTTGCGGATGAGAGCGGCCAAGTCGAGCAAAACGTCGCTGTGCTCGTTGCCCACAGCCCCATCCCCCTCCCCCTGGTCGAAGCGGCAGGGGTTTAACTGGGAGCTCCGATTGCAGGGATAGCCTGCAATGAGAAGGTCAGCATCCTGGGACTTCGAGATCGTAGCACAATTCTGCTGGTGAACATGACAGAACGCTGTGTCATCCAGCATGCTCTCTATGGTCTTGAAGAAATGCGCAGGAGCTGTGTTGGTCAAGCAGGCTTGTGCAGCAGACTCATTCAGGTCACACCCTGCAAGCTCCACAAAGTCCAAGTTCATGGCTTTCAAGACCAGAGAGGGAAGTCCGGACCTGCATGTGAGATCCCTCCATGGTTTGCAAGCAACCCTGCAGCACACTCTAATAATGGCAAGCGGCCCTGAGCAAGCCGTAACGATCTTCAAGCGTGAGGCTGCCGAGGTAGAAACAAGGTTCATCTCAGTCATGACGCTCTTGATGTACCTATCCAAGGAAAAGGGCTCCATCACCGTGTTCAGCGACGCATCGATGCCTCCTGAGTAACTAAGCTTTGCCGGCTTGTCCTTCTTCACAGCTGCAGCTGGTTTTTTCATAGCCTTGCCACAACCCCGAGCCATGCCTCCACGAGAAATCCTACCTTGCAGGGAGGAGGCCCAGACGCCTGCAGCGGCACATTCAAAAGTCCCCGTGCTGGCCCGCAAGAAAGTTGGACCCCTGAGGGCTGTCTAGATTTCGAACCCCTCTCAGGGGTCCCAGGCGGGCCTGGGACCCTTGAGAAGGGCCAAACATTTCTACGTATCCGCGCGGCGCCAATACGGAGACATGTTTTTTAGGGGGTCCCGTATTGGCGCCGCGCGGATACGTAGAAATGTTCGGCCCTTCTCAAGGGTCCCGGGCCCGCCTGGGACCCCTGAGAGACCCCCCCGAAGTCGGACCCCTCTCAAGGGTCCCACCTTCTAAAGTCCCCGTGCCCAACATGCAAGAGGGGTGGGGCCCCGCAAATCCACAAACCTAACATATAATTACGACTGGAGCCTGGACAAAAGAAAAGGCCCCGGTAGCAGAGAATGCCTTAACCTCTCCGTGAAAAGCTTACCCTGAAAATCCTTCACCGAAACCCTGGCCCCGGCATACAGGCTCAATGGTGGATCTTCGTGAAGCCAATACTACAGCCAGTGATTCAAACATTTCCAGAAACCTGAACTTGCCATCTGGGACAACAAAACCCTTGTGGCCCTCTTCAGAGAACTGCTTGCTATCCATCATCATCGTTGGCTGCGGGATAGTGTACACTGATTGAAATTAGTTGCCTGGCAGCTTGTGGCGCCTAAGGGTGCGACTGTCTGCGGGTGTAAGAGCAAGGGACTCTAAATTGACAGCACACAAGTAACCAAAGATCCCCCTTCCCTGGCATGGACTCAACCAAACAGCAAGGTCCTGCGGACCCACGCCCCATGCCCCTTATTTGTGAACACCTTCTGCAGGCGCAAGCCACCTATACCCGGCAACACATTTAACACCCAGAGCCTAGCACTAATTCCAAGCAGAGCCTATCACCTTTTCCAGGTGCCAGCCACCTACACCAAAGAGAACTTTTGACAGATCCCCTCTGCATCCCGAACAGAACCTATCACCTTCTGGAGGCGCAAGCCACCTAGTATTATAATTATATAATAATGATAACAATCACTGGCCACTATCAGAGGAAGTTCGCCCATGCCTCGACAAGCCTTCTCGGTTATATCTGGGAGCAAGGGAAAATTAGGGGGGTCAGAACCCTCTGCAGCGAGGATGCATCCCGAGCAAAACTATCACCTTCTGCAGGCGCGAGGAACGTATCATATTTCTCCAAGACCCAGAACCTACCATAGGATTTCTTGGGGTAGTGGCTCAGTCTGAAGGATTCGGTTGCCAATGCGCAAAAACGAAGGGCTCTTGGTTTTGGGCGACGCCGGCAGAGCTCGCGTGTTCACAAGTCCAGCCCCCAAGACTGTAAGAGGATGGAGCCAGAAACTCAAGATTGCTCGTATGTGCCCTTAGCTGATCTTAAATTATGAAGTGTCATGTCAAGCCGCAGCCTTCAAAACATAGCTCACACCCTGATAACACCAGTATATCAACTACCAACAGCAGAAATTGAAATGGCTCCATCCAACATCGGCCTGGCTCCCATGATGCAGACACAGTCACTCGTCGCCAGACCCTGGCTCACACAGCTATCTGCCTGGATGCTGCAATGCTTCAAAGATGGCACCAGCAGGCACCTGGCCCTGGATGAA